GCCAGGAAGAGGGAGATCGGCGGGAGGGCGCCGTGGGAAAATCGTATTCAGGCACTCGGTGAGGCGCGAGCGGCCAACGTGCTTCTCAGCCAAGACGGGGGCCCAGCGCCTCATGATGGCCTGGTGCATGGCTGCGGGGTCGGTCACGGTGTTAGCCGAGCTGCCGCCGACAATCTCGACGCCCGACAGCGCGAGGCGCTTGGAGAAAGGCCGCCACAGATCGCCACGAAGGCCTTCACGTTTGGCGCGCCGTCGACATTTCTGGCCAAGAGGAATGTTGTTGGCTGAGAAGGCAGCTCTGGAGCGAGCTGATGCAAAGGCTCGACTCATCACTGAGGCTGGCGTGCGTGGTGCCGGTGGCTTCCGCGAAGCTGTGCATGTCGTTAATGCTGACGGTGCCCTCGATGACCTTCAGGTGGAGATCGCAGATGTCGGTGTTCTCGATGAGGGTCTTCGCGAGCTTGACATTTTGGCACCATGCGGCTCTCGCGATGCTGCGTAAAGACACGGTGCGAACCTCGCGCGAGACAAATGCCGACTGCGACTGTAGCTCGGCCGCAGGGATCTCGGTCAGGGAGTCACATGCTTGCGCCGCGGCAATCTGCATGGCTGACTTGATGGAGCGCCAATTGACGATGGGAGTGAGCGTGGACATGCCGATGCCTGCGGGGATCTTCTTGACGTGATGCTGGCAGTGCATGGCGTCGAAGATGCATGAGAGGATACCTCGTTAAGCGGCATGCTTGGGCTTGCGGAGGCGGAGACGTAAGTGCATGATCTTGCGGTCGCTGATGGGGCCTCTGGAGTTCCCGAGAGGCGAGTCGTCGGCGACGTAGATGGCCCCCATGAGTGGCATGGGGTGGCTCCGAAGATTGATGAAGCATCCGCCGATGGTCGGCTCGCTCATGTTGGCTTGCTATATGCACGTCGCGGGCGGCGCCGTGATCTCAACCATGTCGCGAAACAGGGGTCGCCAGAAGACTGCCTGGCATTGATAGCACTGCGCGGCTGCGGTCTCAGCGCCCACGGGGGTGTCGAACGGCCTCGGCAGGGCCTCAGGAGAGGCTGAAGTCGACCACTACGACGAGGAGGCGACGTTGAGGCTGCCCGTTGGCATGTGGCCGAAGAGCTTGCCACTGGCCACGAATATGCACGCGGTCGGCAGGGGCGACGCCGAAGTCGTGGACGTTGAGGACAGCAACTTCGAACTGGAGGCTGGCATCCGCGACGCGCAGCCAGGCGGCGCGACCAGGAATAACAACCTCAAGCATGAAGCGGGGTCGTAGTACAGGTGGAAGGTGTCGTTCTTGTCTGTCGAATGGGACGAGGGGGCCAACGCCGCCAGCGTTGGTGACGGGGATGCCGTTGTTGACCATCCATGAATGGAACGGCCTGGAATTGCGCTGCGTGGAGTGGGCGAGAATCGTCAGGTCGTCGATGGAAACATGGTTTTTGGTACTGCTATGAGTGCACATTGGCGAAAATAAGGCAGGAGGAGTCGACGCGCGCGGTTGGTCCGACTGTCCCAGAAGAGCCCGCGCGTTCAAGAATGCGACGCTGAGACCCCCTGCGACGGTGAAAGGCGCCACGGGCTCCAGCGACGGCAAAATCCACTGCGCGGCCGAAAGGAAGTCTGCGAAGTTGGACTCGCACTCTGCAATAACTTTCTGCTGGGGGGCTTTGTCGAAGCCTTGGCCGGCGGCCGCGCGAGACCACTGGGGCTTCGTGGGGGAGTCAGCACTGCTACCAATAACAAGACGCCCCAGGGCATCACCACGGTCCGCAACGTAGCCCAATGTGCGGTGGGGGCGTAGATCGACTTCTGGCTTAGCATTCTGCGTGATCTTGGCAAGGCGCTTGGCCTGGACTTCTGCGCGCACGGCCTTCGGGCTTTTGTCGGAAGATACATCTAGGGGAACGCGCGCACCATTAGCCAAGCTGAGAGGAAAGGTTCTCCATGCTTTCCCATTGCGTAGAGCACTATGCAGACGCTGCGCGCGAGGTTCCGCAACCACTGGGCCTCCACTGACTTGGAACGAGTGGCGCTTGGCGGGGCCGACTGCGTTGAAGATGACCATGCTCTTGTTGACCTCGGCCTTCCCGAACCACTCCTCGAGGGCGCGCTCGAGTTCGGGTTGACAGAACTCTCGTGGGCTGCTGCGCTAGAACGTGGCGGGGTCGGGGTCGCGATCCCAGTACCAAGGCCGTCCAGGTTGAGGGCTGGAGCTCTGACTTCCGCAGCAGTGACGAATGCTTCCAGCTTGGCAACGGCGGCTTTGAAGTCGATGTTCTGCTGCGCGAGGATGTTGGTGCGCTCGTGGACGGCGGCGATGGAAGCTCTGTAGCTTCATGACGCTTGCTGAGCTCTGGTGGGTGATGCTGGCGAAGAATTATTTGCTGGCTTGGGCGGTGACTGCTCTGGCTGTGGCCTCGAACTTGTCGGAAGCGTCTTTGATTTGTGCGGCCATGATCTCTTCGAGTTGCTTTCGAAAATGAGCGGGTAGATCATGCACTGCAAGCTTCGCTGCTCCGTCATGCCATGGGTTTTGTTGTCGTTTGCCGCCGTCGAATTCTTGCCCGCTGGGAAGAAGAGCGACCGGTCCAGCTGCTGATGGCGGAGCGCGGGTTCCCATGGAGTCGCGACGAGGAAACCCGTACCAGCCTCAGTCGCACGTGGAGGTATTTGCAGGCGAATGCAAGGCCGACAGTGAGGCTTAACCAGCAAAGCAGCTGGAAGGCGCAGCGCGGGAAATGGGTCCTTAGCTGTCCCTGGACCAAGGGTCTCCGTGCTCTGCCACGGGGTGAAATCATTTTGAGCCAAAGTGGCTACGGACGGGGGAGGAGGAGGAGGAGGAGGAGGAGGAGGAGGAGGAGGAGGGGCGTCTTGGGGCCGAAGGCTTGAAATATCCGTTCGGGTACCCCCTTCAGGGCCCCCTCTTGGGGCCGGTCTGGGGCCTCCATGGCTTCATGGGCTGTCTTGGGGGCCTCTTGGGCCTTCTTCGGGCTCTCTTGGGCCGTCTTGGAGCCCTGTAGGGACCTCTTGGGCTATCTTGGGGCGATATTGGAGGCCTCGCGGGCCGTCTTGGATGCTCTGAACGATCCAGGGGCGATTTTTTCACTAAAAAGGGATGGGGCCATTTTTACCTCATGTCGCCCGCTGGGGAATCCTACTGAGGGCCTCGTTGGGCGTCTTGGGGTCATCCTGGGCCGTCTTGATGCTACCTTGGGCGTCTTGGAACGATATGTCGGCGACCTCGGGCCGCCCGGGAGAAATTTGAAAGCCTGCCGCACGTACCCGGGAAGGGCAAGAGCCGCCCAAGCAAGGGGCCAGAGGCCGGGTACTGAAATCAGGGCTCTTCAGGGCCCCCGGGCCCCCGTGCTTAATATTATCATTGTTAGTACGACTAGTATTGTCATTAGTAGTATGAATAGCATGGATGGTTTATTGTAGATACCTCTAGATATGGATAGGTACGTCGGTCTGTACATCTGCACTTGCATATATATATATACACAAATATATACACATACATACATACATACATACATACATACATACATACAGACAGACAGACAGACAGACAGACAGACAGACAGACATACATACATACTAGATACATACATACATGCACCCATCCTTCTGCACATGGATGATGTACCTACGTGTGTCTCCTCCAGCCTGTTTCTCTGCCTCTGCGCCTACACACATGGTGCAAGGCCAACGCCACAACTACACTGCTTCCACTTGGAACGGCTCGCAATATGTTGCTCACCCTTCGTTCATCAACAGCCCAACCCTGGCAGCCGCGACCGCTCACCTGTGAGCTTCTGTTGCTGGCCGACCCGCCACAGGAGAAGGAGGGGACCCTGAAAGGATATCGAAAACTTGAACGAACGACCCACCCAAATGTACATCTTGCGTTCCTGCGAACCTTGTCGCACACTCCGAAAATGCTTAACATGCTGCCATACTTACAAAGGCGGCCCATCAAGGGCTGAATGCTTGCGCGGCCAACTGCCCTCGCTATCCTATCCTCCCGGTCGCCGAGGTCACCCATGGGTGCTGCCAGTCTGGAGGCTCATAGACCAGCCGCGACAGTACGTATGAGCATAGCAGCCCAGCGATTTGCGCACATCTCATCAGGTGGTCCCCGTGGAAGAAGGCGTAACCAATGACTGGAGTTCTGGGTAGTGGACTTGCTTTCTTTCAGTCATGATTGCCCATGGGTCGCTCAACATGGTCGGAAGTGGGCTTACGAAGTAAAAAACAGGAGAATTAACTCGACAGCAAACATGATAGTGCCCCTCTGGGCTGCGCCGCGTCCCAGGAGCTCGACAGTGCCAGCTGGGAGCACCAAGCCCAGGGCGCAGAGAAAGCGTCATCCGCAAGGACCTCGCCGCCGCGACTTCTCTGGGATGCCTTCGGAAACCGAGGTTGTCATAGCACCATGGGGCGGGAGAACAACACGAACAGAAAATTCACGTCGCGGTGGCGTTGGTGTTGGCTGCTGACACCCGGTAAGACAAATCGTTAGGTACACGTCGTTCATGTCTAATCGTGTTCATTTCTACTTGTGCTCGTTTCTGATTGTTCCTGGCCCCCTACTGGCCAGGAAGAGGCCCAGGATAGAACAATCTGAAATTAAAGGATCTTGGCCCCCCAAGAAATCAAAGAAGTTTCCAAACATTAGAAATGAACCATGTGCATGTCACTTCCGCGGCACTGGCAGCGTTCACCCCGGAGCGCCCGTACTGGGGTCGCCGCCGCGTCTGACGCGGTGCGGACCTACCGAACGACTACGCCCCCTCCATGCAGTGCTGGCCTCCTGCAAAGCAGAGCAACATAAAAATCACACCAAAGAACTACCCTAATCAAAGGATGGTTTTCGCTTAGGAGATCGACCAGGAACCTGAGAGCCCGGGAACCCAGAACCCACCGAAATCGGCCCGGAACCAGTCGACCGCGGGAACCTGGGAACCAGGAACCCGGGAACCCAACCTGCTACTTACCAAAATCGACGGGAACATTTCTTCAAATCTTTCAACTTCCGCCAGGACCCCTTCAGTGCAAGCACTGATTGGGAAATAACTTCCCGAAAGCAGCGACGACCTTTGCTGCTGGGACAGATGATTGAGAGGTGCAGGAGGCGAAGGCGCGATGAGGGAGGGGATGCAAGCAGAGAGCCTCGGAGAAAATGATGGAAGGCGCTGAATCATCACGCGAATGTACACAGGAAAGACGCGACAGAAACATATGATGATAAAGGCGGCCGTATGAAGCGACAACGCGCGCCTCTCCAGCGACATCGCCTTAGTACCACCCTCTGTTATATGTGAAGCAGGCCAGCGCGTGAATCTAACTCAAACCGGGTGCGTGGAGGGGGGGGGGGACGGAAACGTGGGCTGTGGAAGCAGACACGTCGCAACGATGCCATCTTACTACAAGGTCAGGAACTTCACAGCGGCGTGTCTGTACAGATGCACAACCCTCTCTCTGGACAGAGCGTGAGCTTCCGCCACCGCACTGATGGCGTCATTCGAATTGCACGGCGGAGGGAGCGTTTGACATCACACACGACCAGATGCCGAAAAGAGCGCACAGAACAGATAGAGGAGTCACCAGTAGGCTGCTCATCGGGGCGCGTAGCCGTTCGCAATTGTGCGCTGCAGCAAAAACCATTCTGCAGTTACGCCTGTCCATGTCCAGATCCTCGCCAGTCGTCTGGTACCCAATCCCGCAGTCCATACTATACAACTGAGGCGGGCATCGCGGAAAACATTTCTTGGCATTGCGCCCCGAAAGAACCTTGAAGAAAACAACCAACCAGCGAGCAACGCGAACATGTACCCATCGTTGCTGCGCCAGCTGCTCGGCTCAAAATCTCTCGCGTGTCCACTGAAGCGAGAGCACAGCGACGGCCAATGGCAAAGACAATCTAAGGCACGCTCCAGCGAAATCTCGTAGCCTGACTCTGTCGTCAGCGTCTCGCCGTCGGACGAGGAGTCATTACCGGCATCCCGCCTCGGGCGGAAAGCATACCGAGCCTGCTTCTGCTATAATCCGAACTCCTCATGCGCACCTTCAGACCCCTAGCACAGATCAGTCGGAACGCACACGGCTTCCCGCTAGCACCACCTGAGGAATGACTGTCAACGGATTGAAGCACAATCACTTCCACGTGGAACCAAAAGCCGCCAATGCACTCATACATCTTCAGGAGACGTAGACATGAATCACTACTCCTTGGGCCCTGGCGATGACACGCTGGTGGTCGAGCTACTGCGCCTAACTTAACTCAACGGCACCGTCTGATTCTGAACATCACGTCGGGAAACAAAGGCTCGGGTCTAATCTGGGCCGCACAGGGAGCTGGGCCATCATCAGCCTATACCCGTGAGATCTCCGCAGACGCAGATGTGCTTGCCCACGCACCCTGCCCGTGCGCCCGCTTTCAGACGCCAGTCAACCTTGTAACCGCCCGCACGTTGCACTTTCCTTCATTCGGCTACACGCAGAAGTGACCCTGGGTCAGAGTGACCTTTGGTGCGCGGCTTCGGGGGGGCCACGGAGGGACCAAACACAGGCGCGCAAGGCGCTACTATCGCATCGCGTTCGACGATCGGGGGGCCCCACTGGGCCCGCACCAAAGGTCACTCTGGCGAAAGGTCACTCTTACGTCTAATCGATTCATGCGTTTCTGCACAGGCCGGGCCAGCGGCGCCGCCGGGCCTCAAATTCTTGCCATCCTCCCCTGCGCCCTCGGTCCCGGCTGCCAAGAAACGCGCTTCCGCTTCCGGTGTGAGGGCGCGGGCCGCGGGCGCACACACACACACACACAAACACCCACCCACCCACCCACCCATATACACACACACACACACACACACACACACACACACGCGCATCCCCCACACCACACACACACACACCTACCCACCCACACGCACCCACACACCTTTTGCGTCGGCGGCTAGGCAGGGGGACTGCGCTGGCGGATAGGGCGCTGGTAGGGCGAACGGACGCGAATCAGGCCACGGTGCACGAAGGGGGGAGGAGGCACACACACGCACACACACACACGCATACACACACTCACACGCACACACGCACACACGCACACACGCACACACGCACACACGCACGCGCGCACACATTCTCCCAGCAGTGCGAAGTGACGATCTGCCGAAGCTGAGGCTGTAGCTGACCGCTGTGTGCATGCAGAGGCGGCGCGGGCGCGGACACACACGCGCGCACACAACAGTGCATCAAGGTACATCTGTTGACGCGACACCCAGGGGCCCGGTGGCTTTGCCGCCCATGCCCCGGGCCTCGCCACCAGTGCCATGGACGCATGCTGCCGTCTGAACACCCATAAGCAGAGCGCCAGCCAAAACACGGTCGGTGGGACCACTGCCTGCGGAGAGCTGCGGCGACTGGGCGGAGCAGGCGAGAACGAGAGGGGAGGGATGAGGATGATGAAGGAGTGGAAGGCCAGCAGCAGTAGGAGCACGAGGCGGAGAAAGAGGCAGCGGAGGAGAATGGAGGGCCCGATGTCGAGGAAGAGGAGGGGCAGGAGTACGATCCCGATGGCGAAGGTGAGGAGGCCGAGGACGAGAAAGAGGACGATCTTGAGTATTACACGGCAGAGAGGACACCAAGTAGCAAGCACATCCCTCAGTTTGGCAATGCGATGTACAGAAAGCTTGCTCACCAAACACATGAAAGTCCTTTGAGGAAGCTGGCCTTAGGAACTCACGTCATCCTGACCCGCGGCGCGCGGGGGAATGGGCCAGCCAACCGGGGTCCGCAGCGGCGACCACCGGCGCCGCCGGCCTGCGGGTCGCCCTGAGTGTAAATGAACTCCTCCAGGCCGCGCCGCGCGGGTGCTGGCGCCAACGACGTCACCGCGTCATCGCCAAGTGTTGCGCAGAGCAGCTCCCCCCGCGCGCCGTCGCTCCGAACTGGCCGTGGGCGCCCGCCTCCAGATGCGGGCTCCGGGGGCGCTCGGCAGCGAGGCGCTTCTGGCTGCCCGCCCTCGGGATGTCTGACATTAGGTCGGGCATGTCCCCCTACAGGCGTGCTTTGAACGGAAAATTTAGAATACCCCCAAAATATTCAAACGTTCTCAAACATCGTTTAAAACCATCCCATACTATTGTTTGACTATTTTTGAATCTTCCTCCTGTAGAGGCACAGGCCCGACTTACGCCTAACATCCTGGCGCGGCTCTCATCACCGCTGACGTCGCCGCCGCGAACGTCGAGCACACGGGCGACAGCGCTGCGGCCGGTGGCGAGATGCAAAGGAGGCGTTGCTCTTCCCAGGACCGCGCTGGCCACGCGCCGAGCCGCCGGCATCCCGCCCTGCTGCCGTGCGCGGCAAGCAGCAGGCGACTACCTACCAGCCCACCCCAACCCAACCCGAAGACCCCAATGTCGGGTGGGGGAGGGAGGGTGCGGGTTCCAGATGCGCTCTTGTCATTGCTCCCCGACCCCCCTGCACCCGAAATGGAGAGCCAATTGAGGCCCTCGGGCTGGGCTGGGGTGGCTTGGTGGGCGGTGGGCAGGTCGCGCGGCCAGCCGCCACGGCGCCCCCCAGCCTCCGGCGAGGTCGCGAGCGGGCCGCGGCGAGAGTCCGCCCCCGGGCCTCCCGCGCGGCGCCCGGCGATGGCGCGTGCTCGCAAGGAGGGCCGCGCGTGGGGGCCTCGCCCGCGGGCCCGAGGGGCACAGACCGAACTCGGCGAGGCGCCGCCTGTCATCGCGAGGGTCGCGTCGAGCGGACCTGCGCAATGTGCCGCGCGGGCCGCGGGGCAAAGACCGGGCGGCTGCAGACGCGGAGGGCGCAGCGGCGAGCGAGGTGGGCGCTCGGGAGGTGCAGCCACTGTTTTTTTTTTTGGTTTGGCTGGGAGGGGCGGGGAGGAGGAGCGCGCGACCACTGGACCCCACCACGGTGCGACCGGCACAGCAGCGTGAAACAGACGATCGCCAGTCAACGACGAGCGCTGCGCCGACCTGTCACAGGCAAGCGCATGCGATGAACTGTGGCCTGGGAGAAAAAGAAAATACGATCTGAGCGTGAAAAGCCAGAAGGGAGGAGGGAAGTTGAGCAGGGACCGACCGTCCCGGCATTCCTGTAGTCCTACCACGAAATGTTCTTAGAACCCAAACATCTTACAATTCGCCGGCCCAACGGGCCAGAGGCGTGCTAAGATCTCCGGTAACTTGTTAACAATATTTCTAGTTCGCGCGCGCGGAGCGGCCCCTGGGGGCCCCCGGACGAAAAGTACCCCGGCAAGGTCCCGAGAGAAGCCCGGGAGAAGCCACCAGACCACTCCAGGGGAGGGTATTTTTCGACACCCCTCACGAGGATCGTGGCCTCCGAGGGGGGAGCCGCAATCGACTACCCCCAAGAGCCCCCCAAGAGGCCCTGGGGGCCTCCAAAACGCCGCCAAGGAGCCCCAAGAGACTCCCAAGAGGTCCCCAAGAGGCCCCCAAGAGGCCCTAAAGAGGGCTCCAGGGCCGGCGGCATGAGCGAAGCGATTAAATAACAAAAACAATGTTCTTAGAACATAAACCCGATGTGTCGAAACAAGACAATATCAACCAGAAAGGTTCTAAGAACATTTCGTGGAATCCACAGAAGGGTTCTTATAACATTGTTTGGTAGAGCTAAAGGCGAGCCAGGACGCTTCGCCACTGCTTGAAGAGGGAAGGCGCGGACAAGGAGAAGCGAGCACCAAGCGAGGGGTACATACAGCCATCGTGCTAAAAAGGCCGAGTGCGGACCGACGGGGCTTTTTTCTGGCACTGCGAGCCTCGGCCGCGAAGAGTGGTCCCATGACCTGAACCTAAGGTTAGGTCGGGCATGTCCCCCTACAGGCGGATTTTGAACGAAAAGTTAATAAGATTTCAAAACATTCAAAAATAGCAAAAACAACATCCAAAAAGCGTCCCCAGACTATTTTTCGACTATTTTTGAATATTCCTGTAGAGGGACAGG